TGGGGGGGGGGGGGGGTAAGTATCTTACGGCGCTCCCAGATGCACAAGGTCATGCGCGCGCAGGACACATTTTCAAGTTTGGTAGGAATTAATTTTGAATCTTGCTCAGGGAGCGTCTGCAGCCTCCTCTTATCGATTTTAGGATCACCAATGGATCTTTAACGTGCGCAACATGCACACGGGATCAGCGAGTTTTTTTCGTCCTTATCCGAGAAGACTAGGTGTTAGATCTTACCCACCCTGCGATCAGGGGTGTGGCTGAAAGACAGCAGTAAGAAGGAGCCAAGGAGAAGCAGCAGAAAGGCAGCAGAAAGAGCCAAGAGGAGGGGGCAAAGGGGTAGAACGTGGATAGGGCAGAAAGTGGAGACGAAATCAGACCTGTCATTTGATCAGAGATCAGGAAAGAAGGCGAAAGGATATATTTTTTTCAGAGATGAACATTTTCCGTCATCGTCAGGTTTCGAACCCGGGATCTATAGAATTAGAGGCGAACTCTTTACCTCTAGACTACGAGAATCCGCATTTTCCTTTAGGCGGAAGCTGATGAATTGTTGGAACCACTTGGTAACATCTAGACTTATTCTTGAGAAAACACCCAGCAGGAACAGTGGGCAAATGTTGTCAAGAAACAGGTATTCAAGCAGGTGGAATGTATAATGGGGTCCAGTAAATCTGACACTATTAGTTTGTAACATTCCTAACTATGAAAGAGGTATGTTCTCAAAGAGTGTCAGTAGGTTGAAAACAACACCACGGAAACAGAACCTTTAGGTGGCAATAGGAAATGTGCTCAGGAAATGCGTGCAGAGCTGGGATGTCAACAGTGAACAGAAAATGCCAAAAGAAAATGACATTGCACTGCGGCTCGAACTGCAAAGTTGCACTCTACCCTGGCTGCTTTGAGGTGTACAACTACTCAACTCTGAACCGAAAGAAGCAGTTGACTCACCCAAAAACTTGAGTTTATTGAGCTGTTCATAAAGCTGCTCACAACAGCACATTTTTCAATCGTTAGGTTGAAATTTCTATTGATTTTAGTTGAATTATATTGATCATGGATCACGCCTGTCTGAACAGGCGTTAAGATCATTGAAGAAGTACCATTCAACTGTTTAGTGTGTGTATCGGGGTGTTGAATTTGTTTCGAAAACTGTTCTTTTCTTCAGCCCCATACGCTCTTTTGTACAGTTGACGACTTTTGTCAAAGAAAGTGAATATGGTCCTAAAAACTATGCTTGTGTTGATTTGAACTTTACTTTAACACAAAATACAAACATCTCTGATTTAAAACCGTTGAGATATATTTCTTTGAAAATACCCCAAAATAGCACGTTTCTAGGGAGCGCACATAAAATAGCGCTCTTAGGGAATGCGCACCGTGAAAGCCGCACGATGCGAAAAGGTTAATACAATCTCGCTAGATCTATAGTCAAGTGCGTTCTGTATTATTGCAAAACTCTCTGCCTTCATTTTCCTCAAATGGTGCGCTCTAATTGTTAACATGACATACATCAGAGAACGCGTTTTAGGACTCTCTCTGTCTGTCTGTCTGTCTGTCTGTCTGTCTGTCTGTCTGTCTGTCTGTCTCTCTCTCTCTCTCTCTCTCTCTCTCTCTCTCTC